TACAATCAAGGCTTTTCTTCGCCAAAACCAATGAAAATGCTGCCAGAAGACTTCAAAATGCATCTGTTACTACAACTATAGAGATTAAAGTTTTGTGTGTTAAAAACTCGAATGGAGAAAATAGTCAAAGATTCATAGTACACATTTTTCATATAAAGAAGCTAGTTCCTAGTTTTTCTCTTTTTACTTGTAAAATAAACATTTTTAAAATAAATTTATTTTTTTTATTATTTTTCTGTTTTTGTAATTTTTTAGTGCCTTCGTTTGCCTTTTTTGCTATTTCTAGTGCCTTATGATAGAAGTATTTTATTTCCGAAAGGCGGAAATATATTTCCGAAATTGATTTGCGCTCTCTCAATTGCAGTCAAATCTTACAACTTTTATTTCTGAAACTGATTTCCGAAATGTGAATGAAAGGTCTTTCTGGCTGTTCACACGTCGAAACAAAATTTCTCTTTCTCAATTAGATTGTGAAATATTGCGGGGAAAAGTTGGAAATATTGCCACGTCTGACACGCTCTTTACGCATTTTCTTCCATATAAAGTTTGTTCGAAAAGTTTTTATATTGGAGAAAATGAAGTTCTGATTAAACATTTTGAAATTTTAATAAACAATTATTTTTTCTTAATTTTGCGATTTTTTTTATAAATCTTGTACAAGGTTTGCAATTTTTAGATACTTAGTTTTTGTTGCGTTATAAACTATATTTTTATAAAAAATAATTTAGTACTAAATAAAGAAAAATTAAACTTGTAAAGAAGTAGTGTCTCTAATTATGTGCCCACTACTATGCATACATATTAACACATATATGTATGTATGTGTTTGTTTGCTTACCTCAAAGTAACTAACAGTTGTTGAGCGGTTAGTTTGTTCTGTGTCTGTTTTAGTTTGTTTTTATTTTAGTTCGCTTTTCTATTCATTCAAATATACCCCACAACAAACATACAAGCATTTGTGCACTTCCTTGTGAGAGTATCTTTTGAGTCAGGTTTACCCGGTAGTCACAATGCTAGTACTTAACATGAGAAAAAGTCGATCTAGACGGTTCATTTTGTAACTGGTTTCGAAATCTAGTCAATTGAAGTGAAAATGTTGAGTAAAATAGTGCAACCACATAACATAAATAGTTACTATTGACTTCCGAATCAAAGTTTCTTCTTTTGAGTAGGGAATGTATTTGAGTCAGTATATTTCATATAAGGCTGTTAGCTAAATCACAAAGAATGGGGTCTTATCTGGGGAAATCGGGGGCTATTTTGACGTGGCGGGTCCAGCTCAGCGCACAGCCCTTTGCTGGGTGCAAGGGGTTTCGCCATCTTCACGGGTGTTTGGTTGATGCCCAGAGGATACTTGTTTTAAACACCGAAAATTGTTTACTGCTTGAACCGAATAATCGGTTTTGGCAACTGCCTGGGGTATGGCGATTAAAAAATTTCCTTAAATGCGTGGACTTATGCGCCTTGAGCTGATAAGGTAAGTGAGACGAATTTTCTGTAATTAAAAGAGGGAGATAAAAACTAAAATCCTTATCAACTATAGGATTACAAAAAAAAAACGCTATAGTAAGTGTCGATTGCAGCGGTTAGGAATTGTAATATTCATTAGGAGAAGATTAGACAGTCCCATTCCCTCTATACCAAACGAAGTCGGTTTTCAAATATTCAGAAGTCTCGCATTGAACCAACCACCACCAAAACCTTCACACCGTTCCGGAAATGGAAGTAGGTTTTTGGTAAGCCGTGCGTTCGTTACCAAGACGGATCTTATGTACATACATATGTATTTATCTATATCTCTAAGATAAAACAATTTTCTCCCCAGAGAAGGAAGCATCGAAAACCTCACCCGATATACGTCAGTATGAGACTTTAACCCAATACACCACCTCCCAACGGTAGAGTACTTCTTTGGTAAGCGATTTGAAAACGCTTCATTCCTCACTTTAAAGATTATTCCACTACATCTTTGTATTTGAAGCTCATTTCTAAGCCGGGAATCGTCTTATGATCCTCATTTCTGGTTATTCCATTTATGAGACTCGCCCTCGTAAGGCAATGAAGCAGCTATATATCTGTGATGTGGTGGCACAAAATTTCAATCAACATCGCAGGAAAGTCGCAGTAAAAAAATTACATGTTGACAGCATTACGATTTAGCTGGGCCCAGTGATGTTCTAATAATAATAATAATCGATGACTTTTAAATCGAATATACGATGCTTTTAATCATATCTAAACTTTTATTGATTTCCCCGAAAGGATGGGACTTCACGAGATCGTCAAAATTGGCATTTCGTTCAAAGAGTTGTCTGCAGTCCCATCTGCTGAATGAAAGCAAAGGCCTCGCAACATGTATTTTGCCCACCTGTAGGCCCTCGAATGGTGAGCAAAGTATGTATTCACCCAATCTCTGACGCTCGCTTCGAAGGCTAGTGGAGGTGGGAGTTGTATAACAGGTTGCGGATCGAAGAATATCTCCAAGCTCTCTAGACAAATTATCAGATGTCTCATTACTAGGTGCTCCCGAAAGAGGGAGGAGATACTAAATACAATATGGAACACCGTTATGTGCCAGCTTAATCCCAATACTACATATGATTCAGAAACTAACGTCTGGATGAGGAGTCTATTACTTATTGAGTAATATAGGATAATGATAGAGGATCCGCCCTTCTTGCAAACTACGTAAATCTCAGTATTCTAGTAGTTGCATTAATAGCTTTGAGTAGTGTGTTCCTTGCGTCATAAATACTAACATGCCAACTCTGGCAATTTTGTTTCAACCCACCACAGTCTTTCGAAAGACAATTGTCAATTATGGCAAGTATCTTGAAAGTTCTATTCTATCTTTCGAAAGACTAGCATTATTTTGTTTGTCTTTTAGCAATAAGATTTGTAAAAATAAATCAATAGAAACTAAATATGAAAAGAAAATAAAACTAAAATAGAAATTGAAATTAAATAAAGAACAAATCAGTTTACAAGTATCTCAAAATGAAATGAAATTAAAAAAATGTTTCATTTTAAAACTAAAAATTAAATTAAAAAAAGAAAAAATAAACAAAAAATTATTAAAATAATAAAATCTGAAATTAGAATGAAAAGTACAGTTAAAAAATCTAATATAAAATCAGTTTCTAAAATCAAAATAAAATTTAAAAAATATTTTTCTTTTTAAAACGATGAAATCTAAAAAATAAGCAAATTTAATTAGAAAATAAAGCAAATAAATTTAAAAAAAAGAAAAAAATAAGTTGCTAAAGATTAAATAACCTCAATAAAAAATATATTTTTTTTATAACAAAATCTAAATATTGAGAGAAAATTAAATTATATAAGCTCATCTAAAAAAAAAGAATATTGAAAAAAGTTTATCAAAAAAAAAGATAAAGATAATTAACTTAAAAAAAATTGTAAATTCCGCTGTACAAGGATTCGAACCTCGAATTTCTCGAATGGCAAAAGAGCATTTCAGAATAAACTAAATCTTTCAAGCTATCTTGCCCGCTGTCTTTCAATTTTCTTACAAAATACTTGCAACTACTCGAATCTTAGCCAGAATTGGCCTGTAAGATTAGCTGCCGGGAATACGCCAAATTTGCCTTCGTTTTTCTGCCAGCTTACCACCTTTCCTTCCATTTCTACACTCGCTACTGACTTCGACATCACTAGAATTTTTGAGTTGTTCTTTGCAATTTTGAGAACTAAAATTCTGCTTGCCGAAAATTATATTGGCTATGTACATATGTATTTATACTCCTTTGTATGAATAACAATAGCTCACGAAATGACAAAAACAATGGGTAACAAGAAGAAAGGTATGTGTGCGCATACCAAACCAGAGGTATACGGATATAGCGCGTAACAGTCAGTCAGTCAGTTCGCAACGACAATAACAACAACAACAACACAAAAAAAAATTAACCAGACTTAAATAAGCTGTTAAGGCCCGTCCACATACAACTTTGGCGTTGCGTTGGCGCTGGCGTCGCTTTGACAGCGGCGCGCGTAACGCCCGTGCTTGCTACAATGAACGCTTAGCACAGAATACTTTGGTCACTAAATTAACATACTAGCGGCTGATAAATCAAAATTTTTACATCAATAATTGCATTAAAAACTATATTTCTTGCCCGCATTTGATTAAAAATTAAAATTAAATCACATAATTTTGATTATTTAGAACAGCTGACGAACGACGCGCGCGAAAAGTTTAGAGTTGGCCATCTTTCTGCGTTGTGTTGGCGTTGGCGTTGCCCAACTTTGGTTATATGGAGACTTTCATATAAATACATGTATTCATAGTCAGCTGTCGAAGCGACGCCAACGCCAACGCAACGCCAAAGTTGTATGTAAACGGGCCTTTAGACCTGCTGCTTTTAGTCGATTGTTTGGCCTGTGGCCGCTTGCATATTTGTTGTTTTTGTTTGTGCGTGTATGGTTTTTGGTTGGCTCTCTGTACGAGTATCTTATAGATACAAATCATGTTTTAGTTTATATAGTATTCGAGTCACTATGGACACTAATAGAGCGCGCGCTCTGGCAGAGCTGGTACAGCTCGTAGCTCGCTGGTGAGTGTGGTTTGTTGGAGATTCGAAGGTGCCTGACAGTAGCTTAGCGTGTTTGGTATCGTTTAGTTGAGCGGCAAAGCAACAGTTGTGCACAGTTATTTAAACTACACGTATTTGTTATTAACTATTTTTGTGACAGATAAATAGTTCTAACTTTTGGTGGCTTCAAACTTTCCTTTAATAAAAAGCAAGCAAAAAAATTTTGTAAGTGTTTTGCAGTGTCAGCAAGTGTTTTGTGATTTAAATCCAAGTTCGCTCCTTAAACCCGTTTCAGCTGTTCGCAGTCAGTCTATCAGCTAGCTGCCTACCAATCCGCTATACTATCTTTAATTAGTTTTCACCTAATTAATATGTGCTCCACTTTATTGCGGCAATAAAAATCACCAACTAATTAAATCGTGTTTTATTTTTTTATTTTTTTTACAGATTTATAAATCGCCCCAGCCGTACACCATCACGTGGTCGCACCGGCAATAGTGTCAACGGTTCACCGCATCCAGTACGCCGCAACACACGACACAGTGAGAGTTCATCGTCACCATCATCGCCAGTGCCCGCGCGTCGCTCGGCAACAATCGCAAACGACCACTATCTAAGTAGCCCAGTTGCGCCACCACCACCCACCACCACCATAGTTCAATCAATAGCCGGTATTACAATCGAGGATGTAGGAGGCTCTGCCTCGTCGGCCGATCACATTACACATATAAAATTATCAGCACTACAAATAATGACCAATTCAGCGACGCCGGCTACTGAGCTCCGTCCGCCGGCAAATGGCAGCGCCGCGCTGGACGAGGGCGAGGCGCATCCCGCTGAGACCGAAATGCATGGCGAAATGAATGAGGAAGCCGGCACTGCCAATATTGGCGTCCAGGTGGCCAATTCAGGTGAGTTGAAAGTGGTCGACTGTTTGCTGATATTTTTTTTTTCATCCATTTCTTTGATTGCTGTCTTGTTTAGAGTGTGCATTGTGTTTGTGTTTTTTTGTCTAATTTTCTGTTTAAATTTTTTTGCTGCTGCATATGTACATACATTTCTATCTTATTATCTCACGGATTTTCTGTTTTTGCATCGTGTTAAATTTTTCATAATTTTTAGTGCATTTACGTTTTTCTGAGTCTTGGCATGAGTTGCTTAAAAGTTTGAGTTAATTGCATTTTGTTGTTGACTTTATTTTAGACCTGTAAATTTTTAAGTACGCTGTGTTTTAAATTGTCTTTAATAGTTTTTTGTTTGTTATTTTTTTTTTTTGTTATGTCGTGTTATGGATACAGCGGCATACATACCTTTACTTTTAAAATTTAATTTCTGAATGTCAATCTTATTTATCTTTGTTAATGGAATTGATTCTCTGGCGCTTTAGTTTTGCATTTTCATTACAACTGACAGCTGTCAAACCCAATTGAAATCAAACTTGAATTCGCATACTTTGTAAGCTGATATCTAAGGTTATTTTTCTGTTTTTTTTTTTTTTTTTTTGTCGATGGTACAATGAACCAAAATCAAATGCAACAATACTTACATACTTTCGCAATTATATTTCTAGGTTAAAATTATATGAGAAATTACATATATCATAGTTGTTATTTAAATGCTAAAAAAGAAAAAAAAATATATTTAGAGCAAAAAAATTGCAATATTAAAAAGCATATATTTAAGCAAAACTTTGTATGTCAGTGGGTAGCGAACATGAGTACATGGTGATATTTGTTAAATATTTGCAAGGTTGTTCAATGAAAATCATTGGAAGAAAATGCGCAAGACCGTTTGCAAAGAAAATTGGAAAAAAAAAATTAACGCTTGTTTTTAGAAATTGCACTTGTTATATGAAAAATCCCGCAAAGGCCGTCAGCAAAAAAAAAATAATAATAATAAAAATCAACGGGATTTTGTAGCCGCTTGAAATTTGCACTTTATTGTACCAAAATTTAGTGGGCTATAAAACTGCATACTCAAAAAAATTCTAAAAAATCAGATTAAAAAGTTAAAAATTTGAATGAAAATTTTGTTAAATTTTTCTAAGCTATGTATAAAGTATGATTTGTATGGTTTTCGTTAAACCATGGTAGTGATAAATAGAGGCAAAGTGGCTAGCAGACGAGGCTAAAGAAGCGACTATAAAAGGACTTTTTGCACTTTAATAATCAGAATAAATTTTATTAGTTATATTAAAGTGAATCCCTACGAAGCCATATGTTTGAAGTCAGGCGGAAATTCGGGTGAAAATCCCCTGACAAATCAAACAAAAAAAAAAAGTTGCTATAAAGCGTTCAATTCTGCGAATAAAAAAATTACTATCTAAATGAATGTATTTCTTTGAAGTATTTTTCCCACACTTTTTAACAGCAAAGTATATTCAAAAGTATTGGAGCACTTTACACAATGAGAACGGTTTTGTGGATCTGGCAGGAGGTTTCCACCCGAATTTTCGACTAGTTTTAAACATAGGACTTCCTGGTGATTATAATAGCGTAAATAGTCCTGTTTTATTCGCCACTTTAACCTCGTATGTCACCAACTTTCCACCTTACCTAACCGTCTAGTGATTTTTTTTGGGGTTTTGGGGTGAGTATCAACTCTGATATTCCAAATAACCAGGCTGTTAAAATAGTGTACGTCATGTTTTTTTTCACCCATAAAAATTCAGGGAGTGCCAAAGCCACCCATAGAGAACAGCCACCAGACTTTCAGTTGGTTTATTAGGACGTCACAACGGGCTCATCATAAAAGTTCTAGCCTTATTATAAATGGTGTAAGCAAAACTTTTAGTCTTACAAAAGCGTTCATTTTAATAATTTTAAGTAGAGTTTTTTAGGTAAGACTGGATGGGCTGCTCTGATTAAAAAGTTCACTCGGAGGCCACGCAGGCTGTTTGTGATGTCGAGGAGAGGTTTTACCAACCATCCAGATTTTCTGCCGAATTCTAGTTGACCCATATTTAAGTTTTCGAAGAAATACACCCCCCAGAGTGCAGGGAACTTGCATAGGAAGCGTTGGATAAATTATAAATATCTCTTCTTCATTTATACAGCTTTTATTGCTATGAGGGGCGGCCATATGTATTCCGGTGAGAGGTCGAACGTTCGGGTTTGTGAACCTCAGCAAACTCCTTATTCTTCGTTCATCATGCAGTAACCGGGGTGCAGATTATCCCGCCTGCTCTTGGTAGCCATCCACAATTCGTGAAAAGATTAATGTTTAGAACCCCTTCTCCATATCTTATCAAAAATCGCCTTCTTACACAAAGTTATTGTAGGAATATTCCGTATTCCTGAGCGCATATCGAGTTAGTAGATATCGACCGCAAAGCTGTGATAGGAGATAGGAGCTTGCCTGTACAGTTTTGATAACGCTATGTATCGATTTTAGAACCGCCTGTGAAAATTTGAATCTCTTCATTGCCTAAAACAATATTAAGTTCTCAGTCATTTCTGTCGGGGAAAATGGATCTCGAATTTGCGATTAAAGCCAACTTCCCTGATGTGATAATAGCAGACTCTGTCCAGCATGACCGCGTTAGTTGTTCGCAAACTGTGAAGCTCCTTTCCGCTCTTAGGCGGTAAGGTTATTTCCTTCCATTTATGGGTATGAAAAAGTAAATTCAAAAAAACGTGTATGTACATAAATGTCCTCAAATACCAGACGCACCCTGTAGGTATTTATGTATATATTAGTATGTAAATTGAAGCCTCAGCTTACAATTGAACTGACACCAAGCTCCCAATGAGCTGGGCCATGCAATAAACAGAAATATTTTATTTGCCATAAATAACGCAAACAAAACATACTACAACAGTTCGAATAAAAAATAGATGGTCGAAACTCAAGTGTGCAAGTGTAAGAAGAAAATGCATGTACATTAGACTGGATCACTCCCCATACAAAAAAAAAATATCGGTACTGTGTTTAGATTGGAATTATAAAATCTATTATATTTTAAGACTCGCACCAAAATATTTCGGAAATATATTAAGATTTATGTAAGCTAGAGCGATATGAAGATACCTCCAAAAATGGAGTTTTTTATGAATAAAAATAGTTTTTAAAGTTTTTTTTTTTAAACCCTCTCAAATGACAAAACAATCAAAGCTTAAAAACTACATAAAAATATTTAAAAAAAAGTTTTAACGGAATCGTAATAGTGATGTGTTTGATGCTGTTTTTTTTAACTTTTTTTCAAAGATTGGTATAAGAAAAACTTGAATAACTGGACCAAAACTATTCCGATTTAGACTTATGAAGTATCATTGGAAAGGTATTTTCCCACCATTTTTTCTTCTTTGCAAATAAACTCATTCAAAGTATGAAAGAGAAAGCTAGGATGAACGAGCCTCAGTCCAAGTTGAATTAAGATGTATTGGTACTAGAAAAAAATAAATAAAATTGGAACGTAAAGTGGTTTTTTTTCGCAAAGAAAGTACCTTTCCACCGATACTTCATAAGTCTAAATCGGAATAGTTTTGGTCCAGTTACTCACGTTTTTCTTAAACTAATCTTTGAAAAAAGTAAAAAACAGCAACAAAAATCATATTATTACGATTCCATTAAACAAATTTAAATATTTTTATGCAGATTTTTCAAACTTAATCTCATAGTCATCTGAGGAAATTTTTTTTCAAAAAAGTTCGTCAAGAAACTATTTTTATTCATAAAAAACCCCATTTTTGGAGGTATTTTAAAATTGGTCCAGCTCACGTGAATCTTAATATTTTTCCGGAAATATTTTGGTGGATGTCTTCAAACATAATAAATTTTGCAATTCCGGCGGAAAAGCCGCAACTTTTTTTTGGTGATGCAGTCTAATGTAGCTAAATACCTAAACACATTTATTTTTATTTTGTTTATTTTTTATTTTATTTATTTTTTTTTTAAATTACATTGACTTCGTTGGACTTGCGTCTAGATTAGTGGCCAGAAGCTATTCTCATACCGGTTACTTGAATATGAGTTATGTATGTATGTATAAAAATGCAGGGAGCCTCACTTTGAGGGGAAGGTGTGTATCAGCGGCTTACATAAGCATACACACACATACGTACATATGTACATACATACACACACATCCATACTCGTATGAGTGCATACATACATACGTCTATTTGCAGCTGCCAATTGACCGCTTAAAAGTGTTAAGTCAACCAACAATTTTGGGTAATTTGAACAACGAATCATAACGGCTCTCCAATTTCATTCCCTATTTTCAGTGTAGTTGTGTTACCCACCGACAAAACTGCAGCTGGAGAAATTTGTTTTTATTTTTTTATTGTTAATTTTTTTTTGTGTTGATTTCTTTCATTCACGCTTACACTGCCTTGGGACACAAAGGTGTCGCGCAGTTGGCTTAGTTGTTTTTTTTTTTGTTTATTTACTTTTGTGATTTACTGTTGTCATTTATTGTTTATTTTTATTTAAATGCTTTCCACTTTAAATTATTTTGCCATTAAAGCTTTCTTCTACTAGTTTCTTTTTAATGGTGCATAAAATTTACATACAAACAAAACAATTGGCTACAACTGTTACTGGCTGACAATTGGATTGCTGCCAAGACAGCAGTGGTTACTTGTTGGCTTAGGCATTACATATCTACATACAAACCTATTTACATTAGGCAGCACCGAAAAAAATTGCGGTCCTCCACCGGAATTATAAAACTTGTATATATATTATAAATTTAACACCCAAATTCGTAAAAAATATAGGACTTTAATTGCACTGTAAATCGAATATTTTATGAATAGGGCCATAAGACTTGCCATAAAATATTTGATAGGCTGATTTGAAAATACCTTCAAAAATCACATTGCTTTGTTTTTCGTTGATAACAATTTTTAAATATTTTTTATGCAGACCTTTTAAGCTTACACTCTTTTATCATCTTTGCTGATTAAAAAAAAATATATATATTTTTGAAAATTTATTTTATTTACAAAAAACTCGATTTTTTGAGGTTTTTCAAAACGGCCTAGCTCACGTAAATCTTAACATTTTTCAGAAATATTTTGGCGTAAGTCGTGAAATATAATTAATTTTATAATTCTGATGGAAAAACAGTAGCGATTGTTTTTTTTTTTTCTATGAAGAGTGAAGCAGCCTAATGTACAGACAATTTTATGCATCCACCTTCGATGGGCCAAACTCAAGTACCCTTAATGGTACTTTGTCGTTATTTGTAGA